AAGTAAACGGTTTCATTTTTGATATGCTACTAATTTCATTATTTTATAGGTAAACCTCAGCAGCACTAACTTTTAGTGCAAGTACAACAGCCTGCAAAATTCCAGCTTATTGTAAGAAGTTTTCTTTGACTGTTTTCTTTTTATTTTGTAATATTTTTTATATTCTTTCTAGTTATAAAACTATTTTTAAAAAATCTCCAAAAACTTCAGTTGTTTCATTTTTTTCTGTTACGTACAAAGTAAGATATTGAAGTCGTACATTGGATTAAAATTTTAGTTTCGGTTAGGCATTCTAAATTTAAATACAATTGAATTTAATTTTTCTAAAAAATTAAGTATTATATTTTTCGATCGGCGCCATAACATGTCGAATTTATTTCGGAAATTTTACAAGAACTAAATTATAAATTATTTTTTTGAAATATTACTCATCCGCAATGTTGGTTAAACGGGGGAAGTGTAAATATTAGTTACAATGATCATTGGCTCAGTTTATTCAAAAGTTGGAATCCATGAAGAATACTTTCAAATTAAAAACTGTTTAAAAACTGTAATACTTTTATTTATAACTAAATTTGGAATATTTTTTTTTGGGCAAGCTTTTTCAAAATGTCACAATCAAAAGTCCACTAAAAATATTCTTTCGAATGTATTATAAGCCTTAAATTTAAGCGAACAAAAATAAACCGATGCAATTAAGTGTACAAAATCACGATCTTTTTATTTGTACCAGTCATTATTCCCATTTGCAATTTATAATTTATTAAATTGCCGAAAATTAACCTTATCAATAGCCAATTTTGTTTGCCATATTCAATATGATATTCGGCTAATGAAATAAAAAGCCAAGCTAAAATCTTATTCGCACCACATAAATAATATAGCATGGCCCAAAGCGACGTAATCGTATAACTATATATTTCGAATATTGAAACATTAATAAACATTTTTAATTGAATTTGCAATTTTTTTCGCCGAACGTTGATTAATTCCCAACCGTGGAAAAACATGTAAAAAATTAATAATTTCCATTTCCCATATTTATGTTTCTTTGAAGCGTAAACCAAAGCACAAAGTAAAATATTTTGCCGCGTACACATATAAATAAGTTAAAGCGCCAAGAAAAAAGTTAGCATTTTAAAAACAATTTGGTGAGTGGTGCGCAAAAAAGTGCGGCCATTAAATGCAAAAAACAAGCAAAGCAAAACAAAACCCTCGAATGCACTGGACGAGTGCATAAATAGACTCATACCATATCAGTCGATCCGATCCCAAGCCAATACATGGTCGGAATAATGTATAATACAATCAAAAATAAACACAAAGCGAGACGGCAGCTGTGTGCGAGCAGAGCGGCATTGGCGTGGCATTTGCGATGCGCTTCTGTTGCTAACCGCTAAAAATGGCAAATGGGCTGGCAATTGTTGCAGTGGTCGCCCGTTAACGTTAACCAAATGCTAATGCCAAAGGCCACAAAACGCACACACTAGCACACTAGAACTCCCGAACACTCGCACACTCTTAGGGGCAGTTCGCACCAATACCGTGACAGAAAAAAGCAGCGAAAAAATGCAAAAATAAATAGGCAAAACAAAAATAAAAATAGTTTACATAATTCATGTATTATATCGGATCAAATTTTAATGCCCGCCGCCGCGCTGTGCCTGTGTGCGTGTGCGAAAAACATTGCCTACTTGGGGGCGCGAGTTAAAATTGTTTAACAAATGGCATGACTGCAATGTATGTGAGTGTGCGTGGCGTGTTTGTGTGCGCCTGCATAATTCGCATGCAGTTTTTGCTTTTTTAAGACTTTTTAGCCTATTTTTATTGTTAATTAAATGAGGGGAATAACAGACACAGTCCAGTGCTGTTGAGCATGTAAGTGTGCGACCTGCGTGTGTGTGACTTTGTGTTTGTTTTGATGTGCGCAACAAATTTTTGCAATTTTTCTATTTTTGTCGGCAGTTTTTCACCCGCTCGGGCATTTTCCGCTCGTTGTTCGCGTGTAATTCACTAATTGATAGTGTGAGCGCGCCCCACACCGCCACGCCCCCCGCCACTGCATCCCGCTGACCACTTGTGTAATTGTGTTAGTGCCTGCCCACACATGAGCACACACAAAGTTGAAAGCGCAGCAAAGAAGAATGGAAAAAAGTAAATGCAAATGTCAAATAAAACTAAAAAATCGCAGTTAAAAATAGTAGAGCGTATTATGCGTGGGGAGATTGCGAAAGAAACGGAAAAAACTGAAACGCTCACCAATACTAGCACAGCATGGTGCTAATAATAACATAGGGTAAAAATCGCGGCTCACTTTTATGCTTATTTCAGTTATTTCTGCACTTTTTTGCCCCTTTGCTAGGCGTGTTCTATAATTTTATGTAAGCTTTGTGTCGGTCGCCCCAAACAAGTGGGCGCGGCATGTGGTCCATAAAAAGTTCCTTTTTTTCTGCGTTACATATTTTTTTGAGTTTTTGTGGATAAGACAAATATTTTGTTGAAGGGAAAAAACTTGAAAAAATACACGTCCGTGATTAATTTTGTTTTTAAAGGATTTCAATTACAATAAGGACGTTCCTTGGGAAAACAAATATTTGCGTAAAGTTTGGAATGTTATTTGTGGAGTGTTTTTAAAGCTTACAAATATGCAAGGAATGCGGTGGGAAATTATTCAATAAAAAATACATTTTTTGTTTACTGAATTTTAATGTAGCGCTTAAAATATTATTATATTCAGTTAAAGGTTTTTCCATAGAATTGGCTAAAGAATTTATAAGTGTTTAATGATTTTCATCAGTAGGTCTGTATTCAATCAGGGGTCTCATTCACTTATTTTAAAAATTATTTAAAAATAATGTGTATTTTTCATTTCTCCGTTGTGGAAAAAGAACCAAATGAAGCTCCTGACATGCGCCCCAAAATGGTGAACATAATTTTTGGTCAGCTGAAAAAACCGGTTGGAAATAGCAGTGCCGTGCCACCACCACCCCCCATACCTCCCAAAAAGGATGCAAAGAAAGTGGCAGAGCAGAGCACACTAACATGATAGGCTGGCCGAAACGTCCGCACACACACACACACACGAGAAATGTGGCCAGTTCCAGCTCAAAAGGTACAAAAAAGAAGAGGAGAGGAGAGCTGCTGCAGGACTTTTTTCGGACGTACATATGAAAGTGCCAAGTGTAGTAATTCCAATTGAAGCCGGGCTGGGCAACAACAAACCGACTGCCAAAGTCCAGCTGCAGGAGCAGGATCGCCAAAAACAAAACCAAAAAAAAATGGAAAGTGTGGGTAATTAAAAAAGTAGCAGCAGCAGCTTTTGAGCGTAGAAACGCACTAATTTTCAGTAGTGCAGCTTCCACTCACACATACAGCCCAACAGGGAGTACATGCATGTGCCAAAAAGAAATACAAAATTGACACACTTACACAAGGATAAAGTGCACACACAAACACACGCATGCGGAGGGGCAAGAAAAAATGGAGAGTGTAGCATACTTTTAGGCATGCTGCTATTTCACTTTGTCCCGCACAAATGAACACCTCCGCCCATGTTGGCCTGCTCCTACCCCCTTTATCGGCCCCTTTTATCCGGTGGGTGTGTGCGTGCTCGCAACGCTCATCAGCGCTGCAAATGTTGTTAGCCTCGCACCGCAATTTGTGGGCATTGTGGGTGTGGCATATCAGCCGGACACCATCATTCGTCCAAAAATGTTCGCTGTCAATACTGCTGTTCTTCCAGATTAACCAAAAAAAAGTACAACAAAATTGTTTCCTTAGCATAGACATTGTTTAGCGGGAAAGTTTCCATAATTGCATATTTGAAAAAAAGGGGTTATTGGGGATAGTTTTTTACCCTTTTCTGGTATTATCAATCGCCCAGTTATTTTAAGATGACTTACGACCGGGGTGACACAAAAATCGCTTAGCTGTTATATTATTAAAATAGATATTTCTAAATATATAGAGCAATCACGTTTCATTTTTTTCGTTCACAAATGTTTATAAATCTGATTGTTGATCAACATTATTCATTTTTCATTGAAGCCCATTTCATTTCAAAGCACAACCATGCCATATAACATTTCCATGCTGAGGATCGGTCATCATATCCTTGGCCCACCAGTATTGGATCTCACGCATATCGGTGACCCACAAGGATTCTCGGCCAGCAGCTCTCCTCTGACAGCTGGCACCTGCCCGGTTCAGGCCACAAATAACCGTTAAAAAACAATAAGCTCAATTAGCAGCAATCAACGCAGGCCAGGGACGGTGCATAATTGACATTTTACGAGCAACTGCAGCTGTTGGTTCAGGGTATTTGGGCCTGGCTTCCAGCCACGGCTTGAGTGTCAATGCAAGTGCGTGGGGAGCCGCGAATAAATGTGAGAAAACGAGGCAACGTGATACGAGCAGGGGATGAGCACACTTAGAAAATAATTGTCATAAATGAAAAATTGTAATTTAAGAGTAAAATGTGGGAACGAAACAAATTTATTATCTAGAAATTCTAGACTAGAATTCAATAATTTGACACTTTAAACGGGATAAATTAAGTTAAAGTTCTAATCAAAAATCGCCATTTTTATTGCAACAAGATAATCAGTGCTTTGTTAAAAACTTTTTTTTGTTAGTGAGCAATCAGTGCTTTGTTAAAAACTTTTTTTTGTTAGTGAGCAACAATATTTTTTAATTATTGATTCGTTAAAAATATCAATATTTAAATAAAAATCCACTGATTTTTTCCAGTGCCAGTGAAATCCGAAACTTTTGTCGAGCTTAATCAACTGGAAAATTGTAAACAAAAGCCGATGCCTTGCCGGGCCCTCTCAGGGCTTCGAATCCGATTGGACTCGATTCCCCTCGGTCACCCAATCTTTCGGTCAACTGGTTCATGCAACGCCATGGGCATCAGCATAATTTAACAGTGGCCACCCTTAGCCTTGAGTTCCACTGCCAGCAGCAGCCAGGTATATACGTACGAGTATCGAAACACTCACCTGGGGGCACATTTTGCACTGATACTTGCGTCCGCTGCCACCGCCAGTGGCATGTCCGCCGGCCACCGAGGCGACACCGCCGGGTCCGCCCATTTTGCTGGCGTTGATCGGCTGGGGAACCACCAGCAAAGCGGCCGCCGAGGCAGCTGCCACCGCCTGGTTGTGATGATGGGCGGCGGCGGCGGCGTGGTGCGAACTGGCGCCAAGGCTGGAATTGCCACCCACAGAGGCACCACCGCCTCCTCCTCCAACTCCGTTGGATGCACCCAGGCCCAGGCCACCTGCAACAGGAAGAAAAACAGACCCTCAGTCAAGAAAATGATTCATATACGATACGATACGATACGGATACGATAAAAGAACCAATAAAGTCTATATTACAAAAAATAAATATTTCAAACTATATTTTCGAAATTTACTTTCAAATAAATAGAATGCATTGTGTATTTTTAGTTAATACTAAAACCAATCGAAGGGGTAGAGAATAGGGTGCGATATTATTTAATTAGTAATAGTAATTAGTAAATGTAATAAATATGACAAAACTGATTTTTTTCAAGGTTGATGAATACGTTTTTTTAAATAAATTTGTTTTTTGTAATTTTACAAGTCGACTTTTATGTCAATTAAGAGTACGGACTGAAAGTATTTCCAAATTTGTGAAGGATCTAAATGTTTCGTCATTGGTGGCCAATAAATACTTTTTAAAATGTATACAAAATATTAAACATTTTATTTTAATATATGAATTATTATTTAAAAATAATATTATAATTAATACTTTTCTAATTATATTAATTATAATACTTTTCCCGGTGCCCGTGAGTCATCGTCTCACCTCAGTCATCAACTCACCTTGTCCCGTAACCGCATGATGCTCCAGACGATTGTCATCCAGAAAGTGACCTGCAAAGGCAATTGAGTTGTTGCATTTAGTTGTTGTGTGTCAACGGTGTGGCGCCACGGCTTGGAGCAGCATTAGTGCTGCCCCATGGTTGTCCATCAAGTTCTGGTTCGGTCGCTCGGCAGTTTGGTCGTTCGGTGTCCGTTGAAGTTGCCGCCACTGACGTTCACTCACGTTGGCCATGTCGCCACCTGACCATCAGCCGGCAACTGGCAACCCAGCTCCTGACTGCCTGCCTGCTCTTTTTTCTAATTAAACTGAGACATTAGTTGGCCCCGCTGATTGCCACTGGGAAATCGCCCGAGGAGTTATGTGAAAATAGTTTCGCATTTGCCCGGGCTTTAGAATTTTTTCTCTGGCCCATTTGCGTGCAAAAATTGTGTGAATCCGTTAATGAGTTTGTCTGCCCGGCTGTCGGCTGCCCGCAAAGGGTTGGCCAGGATTTCGGGGTAATCATCAAGTTATGAACAATAAGCACAATAAGCGCTGGGGAAATTCCTCCGTAAGCCGGCTTAGTCGAACGAAGCGAACCAAAGCCAACCAAACCGAGTCGCTCGGTTTCTGGGCGCCCCGCAGCTATGTCAAAAACATTTCTCTAATAAAGCATTTGCAGATAATTGCTGGGCCCCGTCCTCGGCCATTTCTGTGTTAATTACAAGAGAGCTGGCCAGTGGCGCCAGCCGGAAAGTTCAGCTAATGAACAGTGGCCACTGCGAGTGGCTTTTCAGCGGCATTTCAAATGGAGGACCGGCAATATGAGCCGGGGACACCAGTAAAAGTTGCCTTATTGTTAATTTGTACAAGGAGAGTATCCGATCCGAGTACATCTACATCGCGGCTAACAATGTGGACGATCGCTATCGCAACAAAGGCAACGGCAACAGCAAGAGCAACAGCCACAGCAACAACAACCTTATTGGCCAATTGCCTAGCGTTGACATTATCGGTTGGCGATCATTGCCGCCAACGTCAACGCCAACAAGCTCTGGGGGTCCAGATCCAGGTAAAGGTAGCTGCTACCAGCTACTCCAACTGCAACTCCAAACAGGAGCGTGTTGCTGTCAATGTTGGTTGTTGCTTGTTGGTAGTTGCAGCAGCAACAATGCTGTTACCAGCGAGCCCAACTAAAATGTTGTTTGCATTTTAGGAATTTATGTAAACATCTTGTAAGCATCTTGCGACTGTTGTTGCTGTTGCGTCTGTTAAAGGTCAATTTTTGGCTTATTGTGCTGCACAGCAAAAAATCTGATCAGTATGATGATTAAATGTATTACTTGTAATTAATATATTTAAGCTAAGTTTCAAAAATTTTAAATATATATGACCGAAATCGAAAGGGTGAATTAGGAAAACCGCCTATAAAAATTAAAAAACAAAAAAATGCATTTAGCATTTATTTCCTTTCTAGCTAATAATATTTTGTTAATATTATTTTAATCTAAATAATATTTGTCATATAACAAACATTTATTAGTATTCTATAATAAAGACCCTTCAGCAATAATAAATCTCGCTATCGCTTCCTTAGGATAAAACATTATTATTTAATTTATTTACTTTTATTGTCGATATGGTGTCCAGATCATTTTATTTTACATTTTTTAAAGATCCCACTGTCGATAATCGAATTGTTTCCTGTGTGATACTCCGTGGGAGTATAAGATCGGAGCTCATTGTCTTGCCGGCTTTTGTTCGGCGGCCCGCACGCGTTTTCCAATTTAGCTTTTGCATTCTTCACCGAGTGAGTTTAGATCGGTATCTGGGAGATCTGCGGTTCGCGCGCCGCGATCTGAATCTTGAAAATTCGTGATTATCGGTCGGGTTGTTTTTTTGAGCAATTAATTAACAAGAGCATTGTCGTCAGTCAGGTTCTGGGTAGGTCAAGTGATCTGGTGGCTGGTTGGGATAGGTCCGAGAACTCCGAAAAGCCGGCTGACTCACCTTTCTGCAGATTGTTGTGGTGGTGATCGTTCATTTTGGCCTGAAAGGGAAAGGAAAACATTGGTTGCCATTAAGTCAATTCGCCACTAATCGTTCGCAAAAGTTCCGCGTGATGGCAAAAGCCAAAAGCAATTCAGTTAATTCGATTTACAATTGCCGCTTCTAATCTGGGCAATCCCTGATAATTGCTTGTTGTCTAATGTCAATTCATAATTATTCTACACGCATTTAATTAACCTCATCAACTCAACATTATTATCAAATATTCATTCACAAATGTGCAACTGTGACCCCGCATCAAATGGCCATAAAACAATTTGTGCGCGCTGTCAAAATATTTAAACAAATTTTCTAATGACTCTCAGCCCGGCAAATCGCATTAAAATGTCCAGTGAAAAAACGATTGCAGTTTACACAGTGGAAATCACAAATAACAAATGTTTTCGCCAGCTGTCAGGGCGAGTCAAAGCTAAACAAGCGATAAATGAATTGAAAGGCAAATCGAATGCGTGACAAAACCAAGTGTCCAGACACATCAAGTCGACTGACGGCAAATATAAATAAAAATTCTAACCGCCGGCCAGTGAGAGTGATAGATGGAAAAAATGTGGAAAATAAGGAAAAAGAATTGTCTAAAATGCCACCGCTTTCCATTGCATGTAAATTCGGAATTTGGGTTAAAATCCTCCATCCAGACATGACCTAGGACGACATGACCACCGCCGTCATCGATGCGATGCCAACAAAATGGAAATCGAATAAAATAAACTTGGCCTGCCGCCGGGTGTGTCAAAAAATAAATGCCAGCCGGCTTTTTTCTAAACAATTTCCATATGCTTAGGACGGGAAACCAGGCGGGAAAGCCCCAAATGCAACAAGAAAATATAAATACAAATATTGCACCGGCGAAACAAAAGCAAAATCTAGTCTGGCTTTTACCAGACACAGTGGGCTATGAAAGTAAATAAGCGTGATGGGTGGGTGGATAGATGGGTGGTTAGATGGGTGGTTGGATGGATGGGTGGGGCAGGAAGCGGAGAGCAAAACAAATCCAAAGCGATGGCGGCACGCGAGCTTAGAATTTGTTTTTGTTCCGCCTCCTACCATTTTTGCGAGCCATAAAGTTATGCCAGTTTGTTTTACCAGCGTTCGGATACGGATCTATAGATAAACATGCTATAGAGAGCATTTAGCGGGGCACTTACCTCGTACTCCTGCTTCAGGGACATCGGATGATGCTCGCTGGCATGCTGATGACTACGCGGCGTTGGCGGCCAAAGATTGTAATCGCTTATGTCTTTGGCATGCTGTGGTTGTTGGTTTTCGGGGGTTGTGTGTGTTTACGGCCAGCGATTTGTTGGTCAATTAGCCGGGCAATGGCACATGAAATAGAAAATTTAGATTACATTTTAGCAAAAATTCGCAGAGGTACATAACAATTTTTCCAAGGAGCAAAAGCTTGAGAAACTATTTTAATAAATTACAAATTAATTTGTCTCCTAATTACTAGAAATATTAACGAAATTTGTTCACACAATCCTAAATCTAATCGCAGTTTGGTTTTAATAACCTGAGAGTACTCATTAAAACGAGTTAAACCACATATGGCGTTCTTCTGGCTTAGAACATAGCATTTGGAATTAAAATACAATAAATACAATCTGGTATTTTTCCCGACATTTTGTAGCCTTTCTCACGGTAGCTGCACTTTTTCTATAAACGTTTTTCAGCATATTAATCCTTAGGTCAATACCTATAACAATCCTGAATACATGCAACTAAAATTTCATTCGACTCTTGAGATATAGCCAATTTTTAATTGAAATTTTTAAATCGCTATAATATCCAACCGCGAGCTAAGCCAGAAAAACGCCATACGGGGTTTTAGTCATATTGATGTATATTTTCAGGTTTTGAAATCCAAAGCGCAGTTACATTTCAAAACCATAAAAATGTTGCACAGTGTATTTTTTTAAAATTTAATTTTTTTTTGTATTAACTAAAAACACCTCTTAACGAGGTAAAAAATTAGTGACGATCGAATAATATTTATAAAAAGCAGAAATCTCTGCCGCTCGTCACAAAACATATTCAAATTGTGTAATTAACCAAAAGAAAGAATTTATGTTTAAAAACAACTTACTCAACAACTTACAACTTACCGAAAAAAACGCACTTTTATTAAATAAACCAAAACTTTTACCAGCAATTGTAATGTTTAACTATTTATTTTTCTTTTTATATAACTGACTCACATTTACGTTGAAAATCAAAGTAAAAGAGTTCGTTATAAGCAACGGTTTCGTAAAAATGTCAAAATAATAAATAAATAATATTAATTATACGTTTTTTAGGCCTTATTGCTTATATATTATTGGTTATAATTTTAAAATTTTTTCGTGTGATTGCTATAAAGCCATCTAAAACGCTGCCAAACCAATGAACAAAAATGATGTGCATGTTAGGAAGCCTCTTACAGATGAGTGTTTGTATCAATTGAAATGTAAAACCACTTAATTAAATAAATTTTTCTCCTACATTTTCTAAAAAATAATTATTGAAAGCTACGCAAAATGTAGATTATACAATCCATCAATTCATTCCAATTGCTCTTTATCTATTGTAACAAGATCTTCATTTGCGATGTGCTCAGCAAAACAATGCTTGCAAAGAGGGCTTGCGTGAATCGGAAACCGCCAAGAAAAGTCGCATAAAAAAGAGGTGGCCAACGGCTCGAAATACTAATACAAATAAATGTGAGTGTCAATTGAAATAGAAAACCGCGCTGCACACAATCGAGGTGTCAAAGCGACGGCGATGGCGAATGTCGACGAGAGCGACAAAAGTGCGGCGGCTTTTGGTGTTGGCCCAACGCAAAAACGCAAAATCGCAAAAAACCGGAGCAAAACAAAGCAGGCCAAAACACAACTAAAAAAGTGTTGCATAGCGCAAGGGGAGTTGGCCACTGTGTGATAGGCCCACACACATATGCGAGTGTGCGTGGGCTCGCCTGTGTGGGTGTGAACCGCTGAGCGTTAGCCTTGTTGTTTTAGTTGCTTCATGCCCTCTCTCACTCTCTCCTTCGCTCCTTTTGGCCAACTCTCTACTCCACTCCCACTCCCTGCAGCCATGACTAGTTAGTAGGTGGGCTAAAAAGAGGAAAAAGCGGGAAAAAAGCACAGAGACAGACACACGCACAGACGCAGCTGCTGATGAAGATGACCAGAGCCATGGACATGGCTGTGGACATGGACGGAAGTCCTCTCTAACCAACAGCCCAGCACCAAATACAAGTCCAGCAGCAACAACAACAAGAACAGCAATAGCAACAACAGGAAGGCGTCGCCTGGCCCACTCCCATTTTCCATTTCCGCCAAGTTCGGTTTGCAGCACGCAGCAAAAATGGACAGGAATAAAAAAGGAAGACATTTGCGAAACGCAAAAAAATGGCACAGCGCGCAGAGGCAGCTTTCTCTTTCTCCTTCGCTGTCTCGCTCTGAGGCTCCAAAATAAAAAAAGGCAAAAATAAAGAACCAAAGAGTTTCTAGAGGAAAAAAATCAAAACAAATTTTTTAACCCCTTCGCCGGGCAGCTGGCAGCGACGTCGACGTCGAGTTCGTCGGTGGGTGGGCCAGATTGGGTGGCTTAGCCGCCTCTATGCAGCGTTAAAAAGTGCAAAAAATTAGGCGGAAAACGTTAAAACATTTTTTCCCTTTGCAATTGCACGTCCTGACCATCCGACAGGACTCGCAAGGACCCCGAGCCCAGCCCCCCGAGCGTGTTTTGCACAATGTAGCAACCTTTGCCGGGGGTTTTGGGTCCGGTCTGGTCCAACTCCAATCCATCCAACCCGTCCTCCCAAGACGCCCCAACTCCAACGTACTCCGCTCGCGAACCCCTCACCTTGGTTTAGCCTGCCCCTGCCCTTCTTCCTTGTGCATTTCATTTTTATTTTATTTCCTTTGGCTTCACATCTTTTTAGTCATGTTGCCACTGTCTGCTTCTATTGATTTTTTTCGCATTTAGTCGAAAAGAAAAAATAAACTAAATTTCTGGTTTTTTTCGTGTTCAAATGTTTGACCATCCTCACTTCTGTCTCATTTTTGCGATGCCCTTTAGAAAGGTTAAGATGGCTTTGCAAATAATCCAAGAAAATATATGTGTTCTTTAGTTAATTTATAAAAGTTTTTAATAATCGCCTTTAAAAGGTTAAAATTTTGGTTTTCGAGTCATAAATATTTCTTTAATTTTTGCGGTTCATTGAATAAGGAATTATAATATTAGATTTGTTTTTAATTTTATAATGACAATGAATAATAAGATAGAATGATGTAACATTTTTAAATAAGTTTACATATTTTCTTGTTATTTCAACAGCTCGAAATCTTTTTATATTTTTTTAACTGAATTAACATCACTTAGAAAAGAATAATAAACCTAAAAAAATATTCTCAAAATAATTCAATAGTTTTAAAACTTTAATTAAAACAAGGGTATTAAAGGGTTCGTCCATCCCTCAATAACCTTTACCTCTTGCTTAGTTCTTTTTTGTCGCCAAAGTGCAACGTGGAGGTCTGAGGTTAGAATAGGTTGTCTCTGGTTCTTGTTGATTTTGTTGCTACACAAAAATTGTGTCCAACTTTGTTGCAATTACTTTAAAAAATTGAAGTTGCTTGCGGTTTTGGCGGTTCTGCTTCCCGCCTTCTATTTTTTTCGCTTTCGGTCTAACTCCGTTCCCAATTCGACGTGCCGTGACTGGCCCCATTAGTCAGTTTTAGCCTCGGATACAGAATCGTACTCAATTTCGATCGGTGTTGGTGTCGCAGGGTGATTGTGGCTGGTTTGTTTCGCTTCGCATTTCAATTTTCACTTTTTCGTTGACGGTTTTTCCTCTAATTGACGCGTAAGTATTAATTGCAAAGCATTGTTTTCCAACGTGCCGCGGTCAGTGGGTTTCTTTGCCCGGCAGACGAGCTCGGAATATGTTTAAAAGATATTTAATTCATTCCCGAGTAACTAATCTACTTTAGTACCGTGCTCTAGCGAAAATTAAGTGCAAAATTAATTAATGAGCTCCTTTACCAACTTTGCACTGCTTGTCTCGGCTAACTAATTTCGCTAATGCAAGTGACAACAGCTGCAAAAAATCCCGTGATTGTTGACGCAGCGACTTGGTAAAGGGCAGATGGATGGATGGAAAGGGAGAGACCATTGTTCAACTTTAAAAATTAATTAACTACGAATATCCTTTAAGAATCATGCGGGTGTAGCAAAGTTTTAAATGGGTTTCGCCAGGACTCGCTAACGAGTCCATTGAATGGAGATTCTGGGCTGAGTGGGGTGGAAATCCAAGGTGAACCTTTCTGCCTGGACACGTCGTCGTCCTTGGAGACAATCACTCTCCATTCAAAACAATAATTTCGCCGCTCCTTAAAAAAATTGTTGGGAAACTCGCTCAAGCTCAATGAAAAGCAAAAGGAAAAACAAAGAAAGCCGGAGCAAAAAAAGGGGAGGGTGAAAAACAAGACCAACAAAACAATGTTTAACACGTCGCGCAAAGAAAAACTTGTTTACATCTTGAAAAACGCACAAAAAATGCAAAGAAAAAATTGTACGATTTTTTTTACACACCGTGGCACGCGAGCAGAGAGCAAAGCGTTTTGCTGGAAATTCGCAGAAGGAGCAGCGGGCAAAAACAAAACAAAAAAAGGTACAAAAAAGTCGTAGGAAGGGGAAGCTCAAAAGGATTTTTTTCAGCGTCGCGTCTGCTTGGAGAAATGGAAAGGGCTGAAGGCTTAGGAACAGACGGCGTTGGGGTTGAGTTGGCCGAAACAGTTGTTGGCCCGAAGTTTCGCCCAGTGAAAGTGCAGGCCGAAGGGGGTTGGGTTTTCAGAGTTACAATGGAGTGGGTGGCTCCATTCCTGTCCATAAGAACCGTCGCAGATGAGCTGCTGGATCTGAAAAGGGGTTGTTGCCAAATCACTGGAAATGGGTGCTACGGCAAAAGACTTGACCTGAGGCAGGACTCAAGGGTTAAGGTCGTTGCCTTAGCCGAGTTTTAAGCTGTTTTCCCCAGGAACTAAATAATTCTGAGGAGTTTTTAACTGCAATGTGTCAGTTAGTAGAAGAAAACTTGTAGTGGTGATAATAATCTCAAAAATATATAAAATTAGATTGCAATCCAATTAAGACTTCCGTTTAATTTTTACAGGCAGCTATCACTCATTTAATTCACTTAGCTGGGCCAGTTGGCTTGCATATTAATTATGGCCCAGCTTCATTGGTCTCTTGGAACCACTATCATCTAGGAGCTGCAGCACCCGACTGCAGTGTCAAGCAGAAAAGTTTTTCTTTCTCGACTTTACCCCTTCTCCCGTTTGCGTCCCACTCCCTTTATCTCTGAAAAGTTAGTCAACGAACAGAAAAAACTGCAAGACAAACTTCAACGACAAGTCCAAAGTTGATACACTAAAGCAAATATGTTTTATTTGAAATTTGAGATGGAAGACATAAATATTATTGACCCTTTGAATCTGTCTTAAAATTTGTTTTGTATTTTCTCTTATGTACGCGTTTTAATGAACGCGAACTATCTTTAAATTATTAAAAACAAGAAAGGAAGCTAGCTTCGGCCAGCCGAAGCTTATATACCCTTGCAGATCATTCCTATTAATTAACAAATCGCAAAAATGTTCAATTTTCTAATATTTCTCATTAATTTTCCGATCGTTCCTATGGCAGCTATATGATATAGTCGTCCGATTTTGATCAAATTAAAATTAAAATTCGGAAATATTTAAAAAGAGTCATATCCTAGAGTAGAAGATAATACAATAAAAACCAAAGAAGCTAGAATTTATTTCCTATTACTTTTCCATTAATTTTACGATCGTTCCTATGGCAGCTATATGATATAGTCGTCCGATTTTGATTAAATTAAAACTGAAATTCGGAAATATTTAAAAAGAGTCATATCCTAGAGTAGAAGATAATACAATAAAAACCAAAGAAGCTAGAATTTATTTCCTATTACTTTTCCATTAATTTTCCGATCGTTCCTATGGCAGCTATATGATATAGTAGTCCGATTTTTTAAATAATTAATTCGAAATTCAGAAATATTTAAAAAATAACATCTCCAAAAGTAGAAGGTGATATTTCAAAAACACCGAAGCTAGAATTTTTTAAAGTTTTTTTTCCGATTGTTCCTATGGGAGCGATAAGATATAGTTGTCCGATCCGGTCGGCTCCGACATATATACTACCTGCAATAGAAAGAAGACTATTGCGAAAGTTTTGTCCCGATAGCTCAAAAACTGAGAGACTAGTTTGCGTAGAAACAGACAGACGGACAGACGGACAGACGGACGGACAGACGGACATGGCTAGATTGACTCGTCTTGTGATGCTGATCAAGAATATATATACTTTATGGGGTCGGAAACGTCTCCTTCACTGCGTTGCAAACTTCTGACTGAAATCATAATACCCTCTGCAAGGGTATAAAAATAGTATTCCATAACATCGCAAACATAATTGTTAATTAATAATAATTAATTCATCTAGTAATATGGTTTCTCGCCTCCTATTTTAATTTTTAATGACATTTTCCATTTTGAATTATTTTCTAGCCTATCCTAAGCATAACAATTACTATTTCTGCACTCATATAATACAATTTTTCACATTGACAGTCCTATAAGTGAAGGAGGCGTGTATGAAAAAAAGAAGCCAGTACCGATTGCCCATATCCTTGAATATAAATGCCCTGAGAATTTATTAATACTTAAAACTAAATTGAGCTACATAATGAAGAATGGGTGGTCTTAAAAATATGTATTTTTATGATGCCTCTCTATTCATAACTGTTAGTTGATTATTTTTTCTGCTATTTGTAAAAAAAATACAACAATAAATATTAGATTATTTCTGTTTATCAAAATAGATGTTACATTTAATTAAAAGAACACAATTAAAAACTGAAAAATATTAAGAAAAAACTTTAAACCATTATAAAAATTGTATCTTAAATTCCCGAATTATATAATTTAATGCAGATTAGAGGGTAGCGTATTTAAAAATAGCGGAGGCAGTAGTGCACTATTTTCAGTGTGGCTCGGAATAATAAGTGACACGCCTCTCAAATCTTTCCCGCCCCCCGCGAATCTAAGCCCGTGGTACTCACGTCAACGTTGCCGTTCCACATGTAGTGCATGCCCACGGCGCCGGGATCGTGGTGCGTCTGGCCGGTCATGTGCTCGGCCATCACGGCGCTCATCCAGTGGACCAGCCCCTGGGTGGGATTCTGGCCCTGGACGCCGCCGATCGGCATGTTGGCAGCGGCAGCGGCGGCGGCAGCGGCGGCCACGGCAGCGGCCGTTGAATTCGAAGTGGGGCTCTGGGCCGGGTTGGGATCGGAGTTGGGGTCGGATATGGGCTGTTGGCTGGAGTGGTTCTCCTGACTTTTGCACGTGGCTACGGTGACCGCGTCCGGTTCTGATGGTGGTGACTTTATGGAGCTGCCAAAGTTTGGACGCGTCTGTGATGCGGGTTGGGCTTGATTCAAATTAATTGCGGACACTGAAGTCGCTTGGGTGGCGCCCGCCTCGTTGGGCGGAGTGGGTGGTGTTGTTGGGTGGCTGTTGTTATTGTTGTTGCTGACAGCCTCGTTGTTGTTGCCGGTGGACCACGAGTAGCCGTTGTTGTTGTTGCTGTTGTGCGGCTTCTGCAATGAAAAATGGTTTGTTGCTTGTGTGAAAAGGGGTTTCGTCAAACATTTAAAAATTTTGTTGGTTAATGTATTGAGCATGAAAAAAAAGAAATGCCTTTTTAATGGCATTCATACCGTCTACCAGTCGGCACAAGGTCTTCTATGTTCATGCTAATATATGCTGAATGATTTCTCATTCTTAAATTTGCATATACACTGAACAGATAAGCTTTCAAACTTTGAAGCCTTCCAAAGTTTCAAATTGTAATAAAATAAAGGAACTGCCTATTAAGCCAGTGTTATTTTCGAGATCTTAATTACTATTTAAATATCTGACGTATCATTTTGACGTAAATAACACTGATAGAAACATTTATTCTCATGTGACAATTACGTTTTAATTGTGGGGCAAATAATCTAATTTAAGGGTTGTGTCCTACGTTGTCGAAACTTCAGTTGCCCACGAAGGGAGAGTAGACACAGGAAAGCCTTGTTTTATTTGTACTTATCTGCATCCTAAAATAATCAAAATTAAACCCCTTGAAATCCCATTTATGACCCCTCATTTACTTCTACACTTACTCCCATACTAACACTGGCTGTTGGGTTCTCTTCGATGATGGGTTTCTGCTCCTCTTGTCCTCCGTTTTCCTGGGTCTCTTGATCCGGCTCTTCGAGCTCCGTCTTCACTGGACCATTCTCCGGAACACAAGCGGTCGCTTCGGCCGCCGTGGAAAATAACAAATTGCTGGGTGGATGTGGATGCGAGCGACCTGAAGAGGGTGACAAGCTGGGTGCTGGACTGGGCGAGGGCGTTCCGGCGTAGAGCTTGTGTTGCTGCTGTTGCTGTAGAACGGCGCTGGCGAACAGGCTCTTGTAGAATTCGGCGGGCATCAGGAAGGGCGAGGTGGCGGGGGCGGCGGCGCCAGGGGTGGGCGGCCCAAGGGCGCCCATGTAGCCGACACGCTTTAGCTGATCCTTTAGCAAGTCCATGTCCGGATGGCTGTATTTGCCCATGAGTTCGTGCATGACAACCAATTTGGTGGAGCACAAATGTAGGCAACGCTTTTTATTCCCGCTCGACAATTTCACTTTCGAAAACGGAGGGGAAGCCCCCGCTTACAGCAATTTATCTAACTGAAGCACAGTTTGTTTGATTTTCCACATACACAGCCAACATTGAAAAAATGTGGGAAACCGGGAAACGAACAAAAAGTTTGCAACCAAATTTGATGTCTTTTTATTTGGGCTTAACTTTTATTTTATTTTAGATTGCGGGGGCGGAGTGCACTTCAAAAACTTTTTCCGCCCATTTTTTTTGGTGCACACCAAATTGAAACAAATAGAAATGATTTGCCACCAGAAACTTGCCAGCGACGACCTTGAAAAAGTTTTGCTGGCTGGCGGTTTCGTATTTTTTTGTGAGTTTATGGTTATCCTCGTGATGGACATGTGTAGGAATCCTTTTTACTTGCATATGTTGACCAATTTCTGTTGGCTTTATGTTTTGTTTATTGTTTAGTAAACACTTTGTCGGTGCTCGTCGCTCGTTGTCCCTGCGTTTTGATTTATTTGCTCAGCTGGTTGGGTTTTGTTTACTTTTCATCTATGATTGTTTCATTTTGTGGCTGGCGCTTAGGTTTTTATTTTTGGTTGGTTGCGATATCCACTTGGTGGGTGAGCAGAGTGTTAAGTTAGTCGTCAAATGCGGTGCGAATGTTTGGGTTTCCCGTCGTATTTGTTATTTATTCAATTATATTGGTATTTTGTTATTATTGTTATTATTATTTAAAAGATTGTTTGGTTTGATAAATATTTTAGTTGTTTATTTAAAATACTAAGTAGACTAGTTTATTTGTTTAAGGAGAAATATGAATACATTTTGCTTATATATTTAGTGTAGTTTGCACTGGGTGATAGGAACTTTGCGTTGCACTTTTGTTTTGGTTTACTTTGGAGTTTACATCGTTTTAATCTTTTTTGCACTTTCGTGGAGGAACTTTTCGTTTGAAATCCATTGTTTAACTCGAAGTTATCATGGTTGATTTTTTGTATATTTTTTCACTTTTAATATTTTATCAAGGTTTTGGCAATGTTTTGTTGTTGAGTATACGCCACGTTGAACGGCGTTGATATCACGTATACGCCACTTAAAGTCGCAGCTAGCCATTTTCCGCATTTTCATTCATTTAAGGCTGATAAGAAAAGATTTCAGTGTGAGTGCTTGTTAGTTGGTCTCTCGGGTGTGTTTGTGTGGGGCTGTCCGGCAGTCCGTGAGTCCGTCTACGTCTCCGTCCGTCAGCGAGCGTGGGATAACCTGCAACAACTGAGGAGCCCAACTGGAAGCCAAAGTGCAGCAGCTCAAGGCAAAAGAAAATGGCGAGCGCGCGCGAATGTTTCATACATACAGGACTGCACAAACATATACACACATAGAAACATAAAGAAGTACGGTGGTGAATGTGTGCGTTAACTGAGACTCCTGTGTGTTGTGAATGTTTTGTTGCTCCTCGCAACCTTCCTCCTGCTGCAGTTTTTGTTATTTCCGCCCTTTTTTATTTTATAATTCCCCCCTTGCTCTTTTTTTATATGCACACTGCCCGTTATAAAGACATACATTTGCAGTTTCAGCGCGCACTGCAGCATTTTCTTGTAAGAAAAGCGAAAAATGGGGGAAAAATAGAAAATAAAGCTGAATTTGCGCGACATGCTTATGGACGGAGGGGGGAAGGTTGGGGCGGTGCGGCAGATTGATTTTCTTTTATACGGTTTGCTCATGTTTGTGATTTTTATTATTTTGATTTTTCTTCGCCGTCTCCGAGCGGCGTTTGTGTGAGTGCTGCACATTCTCTAAGAGGTCCTGTGTGACTGTTTTTTTTCAAAAAGCTGTGCTTGCCGTAGGCGTAGACAAGAATAACAGCGTTTGGCTTTTTTCTACTTTTTTGACGGAACTTGAGAGCGAGCCAAAACAAAAGCATGATGCCAAAATTGTGAGGATTGCTGGGCAAGACCCAATAGCGAGAATTACTTGGTTGCTAACCCCCAATTAAGTAGGGGTCTAACTGATATTGCATTGTTCTATAATAATTTCGCAAAAAATTTCTTAACAAGAAAGGAAGTTAACTTCGGCCAGCCGAAGTTTATATACCCTTGCAGGTATGCCTACTTAAAATGTTGTTTTTACATTGTCAAAAATCAAAACGCCTACTTTCTACAAAGGTTCAATAGTTTTTCTATTATTTTTATACCCTTGTAGAGGGTATTATAATTTCAGTCAGATGTTTGCAACGCAGTGAAGGAGACGTTTCCGACCACATAAAGTATATATATTCTTGATCAGCATCACTAGAAGAGTCGATCTAGCCATGTCTGGAATCTGGAATCCCTGGAACAGCACCGAGTGAGCATTACTTTATCTGCAAGGGTATATAAGCTTCGGCTGGCCGAAGGTAGCTTCCTTTCTTGTTTTTGATTATTCCTATGGGAGCCATAAGATATAGTGGTCTGATCCGGCTCGTTCCGACATATGTACTACCTGCAATAGAAAGAAGACTTTTGGGAAAGTTTCATCGCGATAGCTTTAAAACTGAGGGACTAGTTCACATAGAAACGGACAGACGGACAGGCTGACAGACGGACAGACGGACAGACGGACGGACAGACATGGCTAGATGGACTCTGCTATTGATGCTGATCAAGAATATATATACTTTAATTGGTCAGAAACGTCTCCTTCACTGCGTTGCAAACATCTGACTGAAATTATAATACCCTCTGCAAGGGTATAAAAATGGTTTTTATTAAGAAAATGTTATAATTTTTTTAAAAACATACGGTAAGCTAAGGGCCTTAACATACTGAGTTTATTTAAAAAAGTCATGGCCACATAGACAAAAAAGGATCACAGGTCAACCCTTGAAGAAATTGAATTATTGAAAAAAAATGTTTTTAAATTAATCCAGTTAGTTAGACGACTCTTAAGACTCAGTACATAAGTCTAATCTTGGACTGGGAGATAAGATAAATAATAACAAGAGAGAACGCTATAGTCGGGTTGTTGTCCCGACTATCTAATACCCGTCACTCAGCTAAAGGGAGTGCGAACGCTGTGTCGGGTTGGTGTCCCGACTAATAATCGTAACTCAGCTAAAGGGAGTGCGAGGGAGATAGATATATAATTTTTGATTGCGTATAACTTTTTAATGAATGGTCCGATTTGAAAAATGTCTTCTACATTTCGATAGGTATAAATATACACAACAAAATTGCATTTATACTTCTCGGAAATCGTTAAAGATGTGGGCGCAGGACCCATTTTAAAATCGTTAGTGGGCGATTGTGGGCGTTAGAGGGGGCGTGGCGCTCGGCTAAAATAAACTTGCGCTGCGTAGGAAGCCAAAGAATATGTGTGGGAAATCTCAACCTTCTAGCTTTTGTAGTTTCTGAGATCTCAGCGTTCATACAGACGGACAGACGGACAGACAGACGGACAGACGGACAGACGGACAGACGGACAGACGGACATGGCTAGATCGACTCGGCTAGTGACCCTGATCAAGAATATATATACTTTATGGGGTCGGAAACGCTTCCTTCTGGCTGTTACATACTTTTGCACGAATCTAGTATACCCTTTTACTCTACGAGTAACGGGTATAAAAATAATAATAGTAATAGATAGATTTAATTCTAGAATTTCAACTAAAAAAAGATTTCTTAAACTCTTATCGCCAAGTATCTGTCTAGGAATTTTGTTATGTATTATTATATTCTGTTGTTTAACAACGATTATTATACTTTAACAAGTCTTTAAGCATTAAAACAATTGGTATAACTAGTATAATTGGTAATACAAAAACATAGTAGAAATGTTAAGGGTCTTCTTGTATATTACAAGAAGCGTCTCCGATTACAACTACTTTTAAGCAGCCGTAACAGGATAGTAAACCGACAGATCCGTGGTTTTTCTCGAATTTGTCATTTTAAGGACCTGGAACCTCAGTAGTCTTCTATGATGTACCAAATCCACCCCCAAAATTCGGTCCGCTCTATCCTAATTGCAGTTGTTCAGCCCTGGTCACGTTGTGGCGCCATCTGGCGTGCGGTAGCCGCGACTGTCAACCGCGAAAGGACACGGATACGGATACGGATGCGGATGCGGCACGGTTGCGGATGCGGATGTGGACACGGACGCGAGCGCGGCACCGCGACCAATAGATTTGGCCAAGCCCAAGCGAACTGAAGACAACGAGAGTTGCAGCCCGCCAAAGGCAACAAACCTTGGACCACATGCAACAATCGCAGTTACTGCGACGCCAGCTGCGACGCCGGCTTCGACTCCGGCAGAGGCAGCGACTGGGGGGAAAAGGAAAGCAGACAGAGCGGAAGCGAGCTTCGCTCCGGCGACTTATGGCCATGTTTGTTGTACGGGTAAGTAGCAGCAGGAGCTGTGGAAAAGCAGCAGCGAAATGGCGCGCGCGAAAAGGAAACTCAAGAAGTAGAGCTCGGGAAAGCAGCAGTAACAAACACGCACACACACACACTCGGACATAAAAAAGCCAAGTAAAATTGTATTTTTTCTTGCACATGAAGCAAAAAACGCCAGCAAACCGAAAGAAATACATTGCAGGCGTCGAGCAAAAAACGAAATAATAACAAAAAGTTGTAAAAGAAAAGCGAAACCGTGTGATGTCCTGGCACAAACACACTAGCACACTCGCACACACACACACAGATGGGAGCAGAGGAAAATGCCGCGACGACACATCGAAGAAAGGATAAAAACATTCACCGCAGTCCGCGTCGCAGTCGACGTCGCTGCCTCTGCCGGCGTCGCTGCCCCGGGATAGCTGCAGATATATATCCTTCTGCCACTACTACTGCTCAGCTCAGCGCCCTCCTGGCCCCGTTAACATTTCACGAGCGCCAATTTCTTTTCCTTCATTTTGTTTATATTATTTCCCTTCTTCTTACTATTTTTTCCGCAGCTCAGCTGAAGCTCGTTGTTTTGTTTGTTGCCGCTTGCTGTGCAATTTCTCTGAATGTTTTTCTATTATCCGCTGCAATTTTTTCCCTTTTAAATGGCGCTGTGTCTGTGCGGCAGGGAAAATCATTCAAGAATATTCCCAAGTCGCAAAAAGATCGAGGTAATTTCAGGAACTGAACGGAAATTAAGGAATATTCTAGGAACGAATTCAATAAAGTTGAAAATCAAATTGGAACTGTGCAAATTTATAAGTTTAATGCAAAACTGAACTATGAATTGGAATGTTGGTATTTTAAAGAACGCAAGCTCTGATTCTGAAAAGGATTCACAACTTTACAATATTCACAATGACGATTTTGAGCCTTACATTTTAAGGTATTTAGCTCAATTTCAATTTTGTTGAGGAATTTATTAATCGATCTCTTGAGAAAATCTTAAAGCGGAATGGAAAATCGAAATATCTGTTTTTCAAATAGTTCTTTGTTTAAATTAGAATTATGGTATGAAAACTGTTTTTTTCTTGTTTTCCCAACTTTAGTTTAATATCAAAAGGAAACATTTTTATCCGTGCAATTCATGAACAGCGATCCTTGTGAATATTTTATTCGTATTTTATTTTATCATACCATTATCTTGACCCTACCCTGCGCAATAAATCTTTTCTGGTAGATTTCAAAACTATATTAAGATTACTTTCTTGAAACGGTCTTCTAAGCCGATTTGCTTAAAAGAAAAACGAGGGACCAGCATCAAGACCCCTTACCAACGCAAAAAAAGGCAATACGAATTCTTAGTGCAGTAGTTGCATTTGCAGCGCAGCTGGCGTCGCAGTCGACGTTACGCGAGCAGCGAGTCGGCGGATGGGGTCCCCAAACTAAATCCCGTCCAGGAGCATATGTTTTTATGTGCATGTGCTGGCTGCTTTCTTGTTTTCCTTTTATGTTCAAGGATTTTCAGCTGCCCTTTGCTGGCAGTCCACACTCACACACTTAGTTGTAAGACGAACATACATGTGTTTAGCTGTGTGGGGGGAAATGTCCTGATAAGCGTAAGAAACGTGCGTCCATTTTGCATCGCCAGGAACGGAAGCAAATGGTATTGGCCTTTAAGATGCGTTAAGAGCTCTGAAGAATTTACGAAAAAAATGGTTTCTTGCGGGATAATTGAAATTTGTGGAGATCAGAAAAGCAATTGAGATTTATTCTCTGAAATTAATTCTGATTACGTCATTTTAGCTATAAGGAAAGGATCAAAATGCATCCAACAATTGTTTCCATAAAAGTTTATAAATGTAATGTGTGTTCTTTAATATAATTCTTTTTATGTTTGTATATTAAGAACGGTAAATAAAAATTTAAACTAACATATTATGATTTAAAACTAGCATGAGTATCCCTATAGTTCCTTCAAAATAAATAAAATCTACAGGTTGAAAGCTACTTCTAATATTTCTAAGCCATCATGTCCTTCGAATGGCCACCTGTTGACTTGCTTTAATTTTCCCTTAGCCACTTGAACATCATGTCAATTGCCATTAGTCAGAGAAAAGCTTTGAAAGCCTGGCCAATTATGCCATATCCTGTGCACGAACCAAGCTAGCAAAAAGTATCCTTTAAGCCTCTTGAAAAAGCCAAGCAGGAGCTTGAGCATTTTCCCCCAAAAAACACTCGAAAGCCCGGCTCTCTTTTTTCGGGGGCACTCTTGCTTTCCCCAAAAGAGAAAATGCTCTTTTTACGCGCTCTTCGAGTTGGGGGCGTGTTTGTTTTCGTGTTTTTTACTCGCCTGCCACTTGTGAGTGTCGGTTTTTGCCCTGCTCGGCTTTTAAGTGTTATTGGATGATTTTATGGAAATTGATTTGGAGCACGCCCACTTTTCGGTGGTGGGAGAGGAGGAAAAACAAGTGCAGCAGCTGCTCCAATGGGTATCCCAACCAGTAATTTGACATAATAACATTATCCATACACTGCTCTAAAATTAGCTAATAAACAGCGGCCATAAATTTACAACTTTGCAACCAACATTGGATTACGTAAAGTTGTTCCTTCTTGCTTACCATTTTTCTATTGCATGCAAGCGATTGTGTCACTTTTAAAAAACAAAAGAAGTTCATTGGTTTATTTGGCAAATAATTACTTTTATTGAGGTTTTTGAATGATTTCACATAACTATTTTCAAATTAAAGGTCAAGTTCAAAAGTTTGTTTATTATTTTAATTACCTTATTTGAATGTCTTAAGCCTAAAAAAATAAAATTTTTTCGAAAAATAAAATTTAAATTAATTTCTTTTGACAATAGGAAATTATTATACCCGTTACTCGAAGAGTAAAAGAGTATATTGTATTCGTGCAAAAGTATGTAACAGGGAGAAGGAAGTGTTTCCGACCCTATTAAGTATATATATTCTTGATCAGGGTCACTACCCGAGTCGATATAGCCATGTCCGTCTGTCCGTCCGTATGAACGCTGAGATCTCGGAAACTACACAACCTAGAAGGTTGAGATTTTCCACACATATTCTTAGGCTTCCTACGCAGCGCAAGTTTATTTCAGCCGAGCGCCACGCCCCCTCTAACGCCCACAATCGCCCACTAACGATTTTAAAATGTGTCTGGCGCCGACACCTTTAACGATTTCTGAGACGTATAAATGCAACTTTGTTGTGTATATTTATACCTATCGAAATGTAGAAGACAAATCGGACCATTCATTAAAAAGTTATACGCAATCAAAAAAAGTTTATATATCCATCTCCCTCGCACTCCCTTTAGCCGAGTGACGGGTATTAGATAGTCGGGACACCAACCCGACTATAGCTTTCTCTCTTGTTTTTAGTTATCCTTGTTTTGGGTCGGCCTAATATGCATAAGTATGTATTTTGAAGTATGTATATAACCCGAAATAAGTCATAAAATATTTTTAAGCATTCCAGATGTGATTTAAAAATCAAGTCCGTTTTTGAAGAATCCTTTTTTTTTCAGCGTTATGTGTAACAGATATTTTTCTTGCCGAATTTAGGTTGGAATTATTACGAACATCAATAAAAATTCCATACAACTGTGGCTGGCGAAGATTTCTGAGGCACCTTTGATCTTTTTTTGTCGATTTCCTTTTTAATTTTTTGTATATCATAGTTATTTTAATTATACCCTTCTTGCACATCTATAATAATAGTTGTGTTTTGTAAAAGTTAAGATTTCCTATAAAGTGAAGCCAAAACAGCATGTTTCGTGAAATCACATAAAATCATGTTTTGGTCAGTGCATAGACACAGTTACTTAATATTAGATTAACGAATTACAAGTTAAAACCATTTAATTCATTAAGAGACTAAAAGTCCAAAGATACCGAGACTTTGTAATATCGAATTCCTACCAACTTGATTTGATATTCTTAAGCCTTTTCCACTAATAGTAATAATTATGTTTTTCAATTTCAGTGTAATTTCTCTCACTGTACTCACTCGAAACGTGTGCTCTACGGGACAGTCGAGTCCCAGTGCGTAGTCCTCGACGACGGTTCCCAGCGAAGAGGGCTCGCCAAAGACCTGCTCGATCTTAATGGGCGGACTGGGCAGCAGGGGCGTGGCGCTGGATCCTCCGACGGCGACGGAGGCGGCGGCAGCAGCGGCAGCGGCGGCGGCTGCAGCGGCAAAGGACCCCTCGACGATTACTGGCGACCCCTGGCCGCCGGTCTGGCAGACGGGAACCGAAACTGGAACTGGAACTGGACCGTTGCAGGGCGTTGGCGGGGCCGGACAGGGAGTGGGCGTGGCCGGGCCCTGGAGATGGCCATCGTGGTAGGGGGTCACAACGAACGAGGGGTACGAGCGGAACTGGTGGTAGTCACTGTGGCCGTGCGAGCTGTTGTGCGGATTTGAGTGAGGATGGTGCGCCAACTGAGGTCCCTTGTACCAGGTACCATGCATAATCATTTAAGCACCTTCGATTGGCGGTTCTTGAAAGCGATTTCCTAATTAAATTCCACTTGGGGGGCTCTCAGAAAATCTATTTTACTTTCATTCAATTTATGCTTTTATTGTTTTATTTAATTGTTTTGGTTAACTTTTTGAAGGAGGTTAGCACAGGGTAACTGATGAAAAAAGTCAACTGGTTAACTAGTATTTACTAAAATTCTCAAAGTGTATGCCGAAAATTTGAAAATGTACTAAATCGATAAACAATATTGGGCGCACCAGCTTTATAATAAAGTTAGCAATAAATATAAAATATACTTTTTCACACAGTTCTGGGCTCAATTAGCTAACAAAATTATTCGCCAGTTTGCAATATACAATGACAAGCGTGTTATGAGTGATCGGACGTTTTCGACTGACTTAAATTCATAAATATTTCCAAAGATAGAATACTCTAAAAATTAGTTCTCTATTTTATTTAACTATCTGGGTTACTAATGGTTATAATTTATAAACCCGTCGGATAAGTGTAAAT